CAATTACAGGAATCAAAATATTAAATAAGGATACCATCATATTTTTCCAGGCCTGTTTCATGAGTTTATTTTCTATATTAATGTTTTAAGGATGGTTGAAAAGCAGTGATTTACTTTCTTTTGTTTTATTTTCATAGAACCTTCATTTGTTAATTTTGTTAGATTCAGGTTATTGCTGTCACCATTGTTGGTCTGTTTTTTACTAAACGAAGGGTGCCAACAATTTTTTCAGCGACAAAGATGTATGAAGCAATGTAAAATGACTTAGACTTAGACAAACTTTTGTGTCTATGAGAGTCAGATTAAACTCGCCGTTTGCAAATGAAACCTTTGGGCATGCAATAAAATTTTCTCTAATCCTAAATTTCTGTCTTGTATTTTCTGATTGGTTTGATGTAATATTTTAACCTTACATGTGTTCTGAGTAAAAAACCAAAACTCTTGCTTGGTCAACTTAGGACATTCTCATAAGGGTTCCGAAGCCACTTTTTTTAATATCTTGCCTGTGTGGTTTGAGGAATTACAACAGAGAATTGCCACAGTTTTCAACTAGAAAGTCATTGCACAGCAAAGACAATCTCACCTGCTCTGTAAACACCACCTCACTGTCCAAAAGGGCACAGAACCACTTGTACTTCCTGCAGAGGATGAGGAGAGCCCACTTGCCCCCACCCATCCTCACCACCTTCTACAGAAGCACCATACAGTAGAGAGCGTTCTGACCAGCTGTCTCACTGTGTGGTGTGGAGGCTGCAGCACCTCAGACTGGAAGAAGGTAAGAAGAGTTGTGAAAACAGCAGAGAGGATCAACACAGCTCCCCTTCCCTCCATTAATGACATTTCATCCCAGTGCTGTGTGTCTCCTCACACCCCCACCATGGACGGTTCTCCCTGCTTCCATCTGGGAAGAGGCTTTGCAGCCTCCAGTGAAGGTTCAGCAGGTTGTGCAACAGCTTTTCCCCCGCCGACATCAGAATGATAAACTGTTAAAAACTAAACCGGACTCTTTCTCAAACTGGCAACATTATTTTGCACTACCAATGTGACTGAAACCTTTATAATCATTTTCAACAGGACACAACACAATGTTCTACTGCATTTTTGCACCATATTTATTTTGCACTGAACTGAATCTTTCCATATTAATAACCTTTTGCACCATTATTTTCAAAACTGGTTTTCCTTTTGTTTTTATGATGATCACTACTGCACTTTATAATGGTAATGTTTATTTCACTGTTGTATGTAGTATGCAATGTAATTTTGTTTTGCATACAATTGTTGTATACAAAATGACAACAACGTTTTTCTAAGTCTAAGTCATTTTACATTGTTTCATACAACTTTGTCACTTACAAAGTTGTTGGCACCCCTCGTTAGAAAAGAAGAGATGGTGACAGAAATAACCTGAATCTGACAAAATTAATAAATGAAAACTCTTAAAATAACTATTAAAAAAAATATATATATATATATATTTATATTTAAATTTATACATACATTGCTCAAATAAATAAATGGAACACTTAAGAAATCACACAAAAATCAGCAATGGAAAAGAGAAACACTACAGGCTGATCCAACTTTGATGTACTGTCCTTAAAACAGGTCAAAATGAGGCTCAGTATTGTTTGTGGCCTCCATGTGCCTGCACGGCCTCCCTACAATGCCTGGGCATGCTAATGAGGAGGTGGCGGGGTTCTCTTGAGGGATCTCCTCCCAGACCTGGCCTAAAGCATCCATAAGCTCTTGGACAGTCTGTGGTGCAAAATAACGTTGATGGATGGATTAAGACATGATGGTACAGATGTACTCAATTGGGTTCTGGTCTGGGGGACAGGTAGGCCAGTCCAAAGCATGAATGCCTTCATCTTGTGGGAACTGCTGACACGCTCCAGCCACACGAGGTCTATCATTATCCTGCATTAGGAGGAACCCATGGCAAACCGCACCAGCATATAGTCTCACAAGGGGTCAGAGGATCTCATCTTTGTACCTAATGGCTGTCAAGCTACCTCTGGTGAACACATGGAGGGCTATGCAATCCTCCAAAGAGGTAATGCTGAAGGATGTTGCAGGCAGCAGATCGCTCTCCGCTGTGTCTCCAAACTCTGTCACATCTGTCACATGTGTTCAGTATAAACCTTTTTCATGCCTTTTTTGTTCTCTGGCAAATGCCAAGTGCCCCGAACAGTGTAGGGCTATGAGCAAAACCCCCATATTGGGAAGTTAGGCCCTCATACCATCCTCATTAGGTAGGTTTCAAAACGTTTGTGCAGCCACATGCACATTTGTGGCCTGCTGGAGTTCATTTTGCATGGCTCAGGCAGTGCTCCTCCTGTTCCTCTTTGCAAAAAGGCAGAGGTAGTGGTACTGCTGCTGGTTTGCTGCCCTCCTACTGCCTCCATATCCTGGTGTACTGGCCTCTCTCTGGTAGGACCTCCAGCCTCTGGACACTACACCGTCAGACACTTCAAACCTTTTTGCCACAGCTCGTAGTAATGTGCCATCCTGGATGAGCTACACTACCCGAACCCCTTGTGTGTGTTGTTGAGTCCGTCTCATGCTACCACGAGTGTGAAAGCACCACCAACATTCAAAAGTGACCAAAACATCAGCCAGAAAGCATAGGTACTGAGAATTGGTCTGTGGTCCCCACCTGTAGAACCAGTCCTTTATTGAGTGTGTCTTTCTTAATGCCAATAATTTCCACCTGTTTCTATTCAATTCACACAACAGGATGTAAAATTAAAAGTTATTCCTCTAACAAATGTTCTTATTCATTAAATGTGGGGTACCAACAATTTACTTCACATATGCAGATGGCTGGCCAGCACTAGGAAGACTCCTGGTGGTTTTAAACCTCTATTTTCACATGAAAGATGCCACTCTGTGTTCATTGGGACCTTTAAAGCAGTATGCCTCTGTCTTGCAGATCTATAGAGGATTTCTGTTTTCATGCAGCCGAAGCCCTTTGAGATTTTGAAAAGGGAACTATAAATAAAATGTTCTGCTTTGTGTTGACACTTCGACTTGAACTTCCAGTTGTCAGATCTTATATGGTAGGGTTTGTTAATTTCCTCATATCCAATCAATGGTAACAGGATACGGATTCTGAAGTGCTAAAAGGCACTTCAGAATATGTGGCAAAAGGTTAGTTTAGCGAACTGGTGTCAATCACTGTAACTTTAAAGCCTATCAAGGCGGGCTCTTTAAAATCCACCTAAGCATCCAAAGAGTTGAGTTTTAAATGTATTTGCAGTTTTTAGCAATATTTGCAATAACTCCATACCGCCGTTCTAGTACGTCTTATTGGAATCAATACTTTATGCATGTATGTGCACACGTCAGCACACCATTAGAGTCATGCTTCACACTGCTAATGTCTAACCAAAGTCAGAAAACTAATTCTGGGATAACCCCTACCCCACAAGGAACCTACACCATTCAAATAGCTGGGATTCAAAACAGCTAATTTCACTATTACTGATTTCCATGTCTGCACAACATGCTTAACATTTTAACTGTGCTTAAAATAGAATAGCCATCTACAATTAGTTTTCCAAGTATTAAATCAAAACCCTCTAAACCAATTTTTTTTCCAAAAGTCAAGCACACAATACAGATTTTGGGAGTTACATCTGCAATTTATTGCCAAATATCACCCTTCAATTTATAATAGTAATGTTTCTGCACTGACAGAAACCAGTGAAACATCCCAACCAGTGCTTTATTAAATTCGAAGTGTACATACAAGCACTGAGAGCTAAAACAAGGGTTCCAACTGAGAGACCAATAAAGACAACAATATTTAAAATGGGAAAAAAAAGAAAGGAAAATGTCATTTTAAAACTTTATTTATGTATCAATTGTCATGATTATTTAAATAGATAAATCTTTGCAGTGAAGTAATTCAGAAGACGTTTCTTGAAAAAATAAAAACACTAACATTTTCACCCACCCCCTAAAACAAGGCTAGTTACTACACAGGCACCTTGTACTACCCGAATAATAGAGTCCATGAAACACCCAGCAGGGATCGGGAAAACATGCAGATGGTAACAGGGCACGTCCTGGTTCGGTGCTTAAGACAGTTTTCTTTGGGGAACCCTCAAATTGAAGAAGATGACATCTGCATCCCCCTGTCCAGCTGGACCGACAGGACAGTTGGAGTAATCCTTTACAGAAACCAGTCATGAAAGAAGATAATAGGAAAGGTCAACGGGAGAAGGAGCAGTGGAACCGCCATGGCCCGTTCACCGCTGTTTTTGGAGGGGGTGGTGATGGTGGCGTTGGTGGTAGCCTCGGCGGCCTGGACCACCTGAAAAAAAAGATAAGTTTGGTTATAAGCAAACAAATTACATTTAGGTGAGACTGGCTTCCTTCAAGACCCCCACCCCTATATACAGTTGGACCCTACCCCTCCCCAGCAGGACAAAAATAATGTTAAAGTGTGTGCAAGTGGTGCAGTGGTTAGCGTGCACAACCCATGTACAGAGGCCTTAGCCCTCGATGCGGCCGACCCGGGTTTGAATCCGACCTGTGGTCCTTTGCCGCGTGTCTCTCCCCCATCTCTCATACCCCCTTTCCTGTCAGTCTACTGTTGAAAAAAAGAGCCACCAGAGCTGGAAAAACTAAAAAAAAAAATAAAAAAAATAGATGTTTGAGATAATCTTAAAAAACAAAACTATTTTTTCCATGTAGTCATATTGACCTTACATACTACCTAGTTACCATGTTCTAAAATATATGTTTAAATACCAGCGAAACCAAAGATGAAGAACTAGTTAAAATCAAGCATATACAGATTGTCTGTTAATCTGACTGGGAGGAAGGCGTCATTAGATCATTAAATCAGCATTTCCATGTTTAGATTAGTTTATTAAATATTTAAGATGTCTGTGCTGTTAAACATCACTTTTTTTTTCTTTGGATAAACTTTACATGCACGTTTCCCCCCTTACAAATAATTACAGGTGCTTTGCTCCAGCTACTTAAGAGATTCAGTTCCATACAGAAAGCCCAAATTCATATCTTCAGA